AATGATGCTGACCATCAGGCTGAGGACATCTAGCAACAGAAAAAAAAAAGTATTGCAGGGGAAATCTCTAAATTGAAGGTCAACATTGCAGCAAATGCTGATTTTGTTATTGAATCTTTTAATGGGCTGTCCATTTTTATCTTGTTATTTCTGGCTGGCGTTCTGCTTTGACAAAAACAATTATAATAAATAATAAGTATGTGACAATATTATTACTCAAATCAAAGTTGATGAAAAGCAGTTTATGAATGATTTTCTGCAAATCAGAACATTAAGTCAAAATGTTCGCTGAAAGTAAAACAAATAGAGGGCTACTGAGCCCCCGGGTCCCGACAACAGCTGTTCACTATAAAATAACAGCTGTTACCTATAAGAGAATTACAGGGAACAGTGACAGACGTGGAATCTCTACCAGTAAACCTTTCATCTTTATGCTGATAATTCAGCTTGAACACCTACACACACAAATTACATGTATTTGGTTTTCGATTTCCCGACATTAAGAAAATAGCAGGAACACAAAGTGCTTTTTTTTAATGATTGGTAGTTACAATCCTTTTTTTGGCTGTCAGTTTTTCCAGACATGAAATGATTAGCATTTTACTGGCACTGGTGCTTAAAACTATAATGGATAAAAGGGATAAGTAATTATTTTCATAGTTATTTGTAGCATTTTTAAAACCTCCAGTTTAACTGGAGCCGATCCCCTTCAGATCCTCTTTATGCATTTAGAGAATTTTAACCTTACTGGAAATCTTCACCTCTTTCTGTGCGAACACTGTGTCTGGCCATTCCAGTACATTTGCTTAATCTTAAGCCTTAAGGGTGGGTTCACACCTAGGCGTATCGAATATGCGCGTTTGTCGTGCGTTTTTACGCGCATTTCCGAGGGCTACCTGGCTGTATCCCAATGGGCAAATACGCCCCAAAGAAGCTCCTGTACTTCTTTTGGCGTAGGGCGTTTTGTAGCGCGTTCATACGGCCTGTAATACGCCCAGGTGTGAACCATATCCATAGGAACGCGCAGAGCAGAGCGTAGGAACGCGCTACAAAACGCCCTGGTGTGAACCGGGCCTAAAGCTGAACTCCAGGAAAAGCAAACATTGTCTAAATACAAGAGGCATGTGCATTCTTACTTGAATCTTGCTGAGCTTTGTGTAGTTCTTCCAGATCTGTACAGTAATCCAGTGTGAAACTTTGCTTGCATGCAGGAGCTTACTGTAATAAAGACCGGTCACTGCTGCTCTCTCCTTGTTTAGGGTGACCGGTCTTGTATCCGCCCCCCTCCTGTAGTTTTCCCCCAGCTCTGCTTAGGATGTGTACAGTATTGTGATGATGTCACCGCTTCTTTTACAAGGAAATAAGTTCACAAAGGCATTGTGTGGAATAGACTACATTTATATCCTTTTGTATATATTTGTAGTTATTGATATGTTTTGTATGTATTGTAGTCATTGATATCTGGGTTTGTACAGGTATTTGGTGGATTGGTATCCTTTGTGACTGTTGAGGAACATATTTAAATGGATGTTTTTTTGCTCGGAGTTCAGATTTAAAGTGTATGTAAACCCAAAATCTATTTTTCAGTATGTTTGGCATCATGCTTCACTCAATCTTGACCAGATAGCTATTTATAATTTGTTGACCCTGACCTTCCTGTTGCAGACTGACAATACTAAAGGTGCCCACACACCTTGCGATAATCGCGGGAAATACCACGATCGTACGATTATTGCAAGGGGTGTGGAAGGCGTGCGACCTCTGCTACTGTAAGGTCGCACGACTTTTATCTTAGGAACATGTTCAAAAACCTGCCGAGAATCGTACGATTGTCGGCGGGTGTGTGGCATGTTCGTAAGATAAAGCGGGGCGGGCTTGCGATCATCGCAAGTACGATCTGCCTGTCCAAGATGGGCAGATCGTACGTTTTTTTAATGACCTTACAACCATCGCAAGACAAAAGTCTTGCGGTGGTTGTAAGGTGTGTGCCCAGCATTAGTCACTGCCTCTCAATTAGCAGCAGCATTGTCAGTCTGCCATAAGTGCTCCTGCAGCTGGCCATTGGGCTATCAGTTCTATCAGATAGGCAGCCCAATGGACAACTAAAGGAGCACACACGACAGGCTGACAATGCTGCTGCTGTGAGGCAGTGACTTAGGGTTGTCAGCTTGCAACAGGAAGTGCTGTTACTAGCAGGATCTTCTGGTATGAAACTAAAAAGATTTGCTTAAGAAAACTGTACACAGTGAGATGTAAATCATTTTAATGTAGATCTCCATCATCACTGTCACTAGGACTGAAAGGAGAGGATATCCAAAATGTTGCGTTGTCACCAGAGCAGCAGTAGAGGGAAAATCTTCCAATAGAGACACTTGTGGTGACAAATGTCACTGTATTTCCATCCCTTTGGAGAGATTTCTTCTCACTTCTTGTTGTGTCTATGGGACAGGAAGTGAAGGAAAGTTTCCCCAAAGCAACACAGACAACAAAATGAAATGTGATTGGTTTTAACTTCCCAACTCTATTCAGATCTAAAAATCTTTACAAATACTTTGATACTTGCCCCCTGGAGCTGTTAGCCATGATGTGCTAGTATACACAGCATTTTAGCCCATTATGGCAGACTTACCTGCAAAAGCGACAAAGTGATCTCCTCCAGCGTTGCTCTCCTCTCTCCCCCTGGAGCTTCCATCTTCCCCCCGGTCTTTTTCCGGGTTCTGCAACTTCAGCCCCTTGATTCTGATATCTAGAGGCAGAGCCAGCTGTGCCCGCCCCCTCCCCCGTCCGTTCCTCCAGTCAGCGCTAAAGAAGCGGAAAGGAGAGGGGGGAGTCCCTGCAGGAAATGGTGACTAAAAGTCATTACTCTCTGCAGGAAGATGATCAGAAACTGAGTGATCAGCGATTAGTTTTGCTCAGTTCCTGATCAATAGAGCTAACGTGTGACAGATTCAGTGTAATCCAGTCTCCCCATAATTCTCCTTTAAACATCTGAAATTAATAATATTTTTTTTTCGGTAAGGTGAGATAGTTGACAGCAGCGCTTATTTATAAAAGGTAATCATGGAGAAGTTCCCTTTAGTGGCCAAAGATAGCGCTGAAAGTTTTTTAAGAAAAAAAGAAAACAGCACAATGCCTATGATGTCATATAAGCATTATTTTACTATGTATAAGCTGTGCTGAAAGCGTGTGATTAGTGCCTAATGCTCTGGTCACTTGTCTAGGACTGATAGGAGATCAGAGAAACAGTTTCTTTAAATTAAGAATCTCTTTCATCACTGATATACTTAGCCCTTGTTCACACCTCTGCAGTGCAACATTGTAGAGGTGCTGCAGGGTGCGCTTGTGGTATGCTGCAGTAGGCAGCCCATTCATTTGAATAGGTTGTCTACTGCAGCTAAATCGCACTGAAAGAAGTGCATGCACCTTTTTTAAAAAATTGCATTGCACCACGTTGCAACAGTAATAGGTTACCATAAGATGTGGTGCGATAAAATGAATGTGACAGCTGGGTGTGTTGTGGTGCCATTAAGAAATAGTGGCATTGCAGTGCACCTAACATTATATGAGATACGGGATGCACACACTTCCACACCGCACAGACGTGATCAAAGCCTAAAGCTGGCCATACACTGTGTGAATTTTACACTGTGGCGGCCCGTCTTGTTGATCAGAAATGGCAGTATGGAAAATCTTCAGGAGAACCATGACAGCAGCCAATCAGTTGCCATCACAGAATACAAAGGACACAGCGGGAGATTTGTTCATCCACGCTGTTTGGCATGGATGGAGTAATCTGTTATGTTTAACAGTGTACGGCCAGCTTTAGTGTGGCTCCAGATGTCAGATTAGGGGGTCTTTAACACAGTATAGGTTAGCCTTAATCAGTTATATATTTAATGATCTCAGAAACTATTAGACAGGGTTCTTACCAACCAATGCTAGAAAAGCATCCATTGAAATCTGAATGTGTGTAATGAACAAAGCAAACACTCTCCTTCTGCTTTTTTTATGAAGCAACAATTAAAGGTGTTATACACAGATATACCTATTCTGTATAAATAAATATGTATATGTGACAGGAATTCACAATCACAGGTCCTGAGAAGGAAACAGGTGGTCTGCGTTCTTTTGTTATTTGTAGCCCACGTTTGGTGGGGTGTGGCCCATCTTGCCGGGTTCCTGAGCACAGACACAGTATCCAAATTTGAAAAGCCTCTCACAGTTTGTTTCCTTGATAGAACGTGTCAGTGCTTCAGTCCTGCCCTGTATTAGTGTATAAGAGTGCACCCAGGCTATATTGATATTCCAATACATATAATACATATTGTAAAATGTTTCACTTTAAGGTCACCACCAAACACCCAAAGGCACCATTTGTGGCTATGGTTACTAATACACTTATGCATGTATGAGTATACTTATTTCTATCTATCTATCTATCTATCTATCTATCTATCTATCTATCTATCTATCTATCTATCTATCGATATCTATCTATCTATCTATCTATCTATCTATCTATCTATCTATCTATCTATCTATCTATCTTGCCAGATAATTTAGTTGGGGATTGGTCCACACTTTCTTATGGCTTATTGCCTTATACTGGATCATTGCCTTTGCAAAGTTTCTCCCCAACAAACTAATACCCACCTTGTTAGCACTCCCCTGCTGTTTCTTCCTCGGTTGCAGCTGACACTAAAATTCCTGGTTTTGGCTGGTGGGGAAGGCAAAGGGAAGCAGTAACATCACTCTCTCTGTCACGTGGCTTAGATATTGACTGCTCTGGGTATTGATGGAAGAGGGATCTGTGGGGGAGAGCTAGCATAATTGGATCAGGGGTGACCTTTGCAAACACATTGTCACTTTGTCCTAAATGGCCCTCTCTGTGGATGCAAGGTGTTTTTTTTTCCTTTTCAATGGCTGAACTATGAAAATTCCTAATAGTCACAAAATTAATTTTTCAGAATACAAGAGATTTATGAATTCAAGGCTCCATGGGCACAGCTTCTTTATTATCCTTTTATTTTACATCAAACATTGAATTTTCAGTTTCATATGAAAGGAACCCCTAATCTGCAATTTATTTGTGGAAATTGTGGTACTTATACATCACCCAACCACATGTGGTATCCTTAGTGGGGGATTAAAGAGGACACAATAAGCATTTCGCTCTCTAGCTTCTCTTTAAAAGACTCAGACACATTGAATATACTCTATCATAATTTGTTTACACTTACATAGACCCGACCCTGATAATGAAAGAATCAACATATATTGTGCACATAACCCAAAAGAATTCAGATTTCTTTACATCCAACTACAACTCCTTGCGGAGATCACTGTTACAGCAAGTTCCTCTCTGGCCACTAAAAATATAAGGAGGTACCGTATGGTGATTGTTAACCAGTTTGCAGCTGGTGCATTCAATTAATAAATATATGAGTAAGAAATCTGCTTCCAGCAACAAAGAGGATAAAATTACCATCCATTTCACTAATTTATGGGTGGGAGAGCCTGCCCACACCTGAGCTTGTACCCAGTTATTGTATTTATATTGAATCCTTTTAGTTGATATGACACTTCCAAAATGTGGCTATCAGGAAGTATGTCAAGACAAGTCTGCAGAGGTGTATGACCACCATTGCTGGCTCATGTTGCAATGCATTGTGTGTAACAGGAAGCTCCATCTGCACCCATTTCCCTTCTTGATGAGTCTTCCTCAGCCATGTGTCGATGGCTTCCCAAGTGAGCCCTTAGCCAATGTGGATAGGCCTTCTGGGTGCTTGTCTGCTAAAGTAGAGGTCCTGCTATTTCTCAGTTAAGGAGAGCTGTAGGATCCTTTCTAGCTCTTCTTCCTCCTGTTGCTTGAGCATCTCCTCCTCCTCCAGCTCCTTGGCTGAGAGTTCCATGGCTATTCGTAGCTGCTCCTTATAAGTGCTGAATGCATTGCTGGACACGGAGTGTGGGGGGCTGCAGGGCTGGGTGTGCAGGGGGGTTCTGCAGGAAAAGTCCAGGAACACAAAAATCACTCACCTTCTGCCAATGAGGAGATGATAAAGATTTAAAATGCCTCATGGTGAAATGGAAACATCGTATGAAAGGAAGAAAAAAACCCTGTTTTCGCAAAGCCCACTGTTTTTAAATCCCCATGAAAAGTATGAGGTGTTCACATGAAAAATGCTTTCATAACAACAAATCAAACTGAAACTTGATGTCTCCAATGACTCAGGAAAAACACACATATGAGCTGTAATGTTGCAGTTTACCCATTGCTAATGCACCTGATACTAAGCTTGTTGTCATCTTATACTAGTGGTGTATGGTTTTATCCTAACCGATGAGAAAGACTGTAATAGAGACACATTGTCAGCTTGATAATCCTAAAGTAGGCATGCATTTATAAGGCTGCCTGGCCCTGACATATATCTGTCTGTGCTCAGCACAGCCAAATTCCCCCCTCCACTTGCTCATTGAACCCTATAAACTTTCGCCCCGCAGAGTACAGTGTGAAGAATCTCATTAGGAAGTCAATGAACACAATAAATAGCGAGTGAGGCCAGCCCTGGATGTGCTGTTTATGGCCATCTACACAAACCATAAAGGATGTCTCTACTATGTATTTGTGCTGTTTATTGTAGCATAAGCAAGCTGACACAAGAAAATAACCCCTTTAACCATGTTGTGCATAGCTGAAGACGACATTCTATCACTTTTAGCATATAAGGATTGCTGACGGACAATCCAACCCAAGAGACAACATAGATAGCTAGTAATATAACCATCTGTATCCACAAGCATGACAGTCTGCATAATTATGTCACTGGACACAAAATGAATGATATTCTGATACATATATAAGAAAATTATTACTCTTACTGAATGTAATAACATTTCTTTTGGGAGGACCTGTAACAAACTGTACAGTCTGTTGGTCTTATAATCTGTGTTACTTTTCTGCAATTTACAAACCTTTCTCCTTTCCGCTCATTAGAAATTGGATGTGTTCCTGGTTTGCTGTTTGTCAGAGCTTCCCAAATTGTTACCTGTAAAAGTAGAACAGGTAGAGTTGCATATTTTGTTTTATGAATAGACCAGCAGGGTAAGACTACAATACTGAACATTCTAAGGACAATTATGGGCTTTGAGTGAAACCTGCACTGAGAGAGATAAGTCAGCTGCCATTTGTTACCTTTTTTTCTGTCACTGATCCAGAACGAGCGTGCAATGAATGAAGCCAAGACTTCTGATCTGCATAGCTATTGTGGGTCAACTTAAATATTGTGGGTAAACTTAAAAGCCATGAAACCCCTAGATGTGCATGACAGGCAATGTTTCACAAGGGAGCTGCTGGCCATGGTAGTCTACATATTACTCTCAGTACAGATTTCCTAAATAATACAAAATCTCTAAGGTCTACAGAACCCTGGTACAGAATCTAAATAGGACCTTTATTACATATGATATTTTTCAGCTTTCAGTTTCTTTATTTATAAACCTGGTTCAAGTTCTACATCTTAATGTCCTATATGTCTTTTAGACATGTAAAGAGATATAATGCAATAATGCAGGGGCGCCCACTATTTTTCGTCTGGAGATCTACTTTTCAAATGACGAGCTCATTGAGATCTACCAACGAAAAAACACCTGCATTCAGGGGCGGGAGGGGGCGTGGCGGTGCATTGAAATCAATGTCACCGCAGCCAGGCTCCACAGGCAGGCCCCTTGCCCACAGTGCGATCGCCTGCATTAGTGCCGGTGTTCCAGTCCAGTGCGATCCGCAAAAATACCGCCCTTCCACGCCGCCGGTTCCTTCACATCTTCTCGGATCCCCGCTGGGGAGAGCAGCGGGGATCCAGAGAAGCGGCGGGAGGAGAGGACATTGCGATCTACCAGTGATCGCTACGTGATCGACTGGTAGATCGCGATCGACCTTGTGGGCACCCCTGCAATAATGCAATGTGTAAACAATGAGGTGTAATCATATATTGATGGGTCGCACTGACCATGTCACAACTGCATTTTCCCTAAACCAGTAATACAGCCTAGTGACCATGTCTATTTCTCAGAAAGTTCGTAAAAGCAAGTTATTCAATTAAGAATATCAAACTTCACCCATACCCTATATTCTTAGCCATTAGCAACTCACACCCCATCCCAGTGTTTAGGTACCCCCATTCCTCTAACCTATTATGTACCTTTAAGGGGCTTCTGCTTAAAAAGCTCTCCATAAGAAGAAGAGCTGGGAAGTCGGAAAATATCCCCCAGGCTACACTTTGCTGGTCCTGGCAAGATCTTCAGTAATTTTCATAATTGCCAAATGGCTGCATAGGCAGTGCACATAGCCCATATATAGTATCATTCTCATTATAGTCACTTTAAAGCATAAACAATCACTTGATTGACTGGCAGAATAAAACTGCTAAACCACTAAAGCTACTTGTGCTCATGGCTGTATTATTTAGCATTTTCCTTAGCTATGTTAAATGTATACCTGCTGCTGTACTATTAGGGGCTCAGTCCTGACAGCTCTCTCTGATCCAGGAATAGCCAGCCCTTCACTTGTTTCCAACTATGGAGAAGATCTAGCTAGCTCCATTGTTCCTACTGCCACATGTTATTCCCCTTTTGATATACTTATTTCGTAAAACCTTTTAACTGCATCTGAGCAGTATTACCAAAATTAAGCATTAATAAACATGTCTGCCATTTGATGGTGAAGCCATCTTACCTGATCAAATTCACTACCAGCTTCTAGCAAACTTTGCTGGATTGCAAACTGAAGCAGGTCATCCTCCTCCTCACGCATGCTCTCCCGGTAACTCCCTACCACACTGTACCCTCGTGGGGCTTCAAACAAGGTCTGGTCCATCTCACAGCCACGTCCAGAAGCTGTAAACGTACCAGAACACAGTCATAAGTCCATCATCTATTTCAGGTGAACAGGACATACAGTGAAATTAGGTCATCTGCTGACATGTCCACCATTTTAAAAGCAGCTAACTCAGTATGTATGTTCAGGCAAAGCAGTGAAGGTGGAGGCCTGGAGGAGCCATCTGAAATGTTGAAGTGGATCATGCTACTTGCCCATGTAAAATCTGCAGGTGACATGAGGCACAGCCAATGGTAATCCTCTCTATGGTCACCCTTACGCAGGACCTCCTGTGCCCCCAGTGCTGAGGTCTGACACATACTGTTAGGGTCCCTCTGTCCCGCGTCCCCCTGCTGTGGCTTCATACTTATAGAGCTGGTGCTGCTAACACTGCAGGAGTCGCTGCTTGGGGAGGGGGCTTCACTGCTGGGGCTCTGACGGAGGGAGGACACTGGTTCATCACATCCATTCAGGTTTCCAAAGGTAATGCGGGCATTCAGGATATGGAAAATGGGAATTTCTGTCAAAAAACAAATAAGACACAAATATGCCATTACCATCGCTATCTAGTATATCTATAATAATAATAACTACTGTGTATAAGGACAAACTTTACCATTTTTGAACTCTGACTACTGTCTCAACAAAAAAGGAGCGTGATGGTGTCATTGGTAAGATGGGGATGACAAAATGTGTTCCCATATTTTGCTGCAGTCTCTCCTATAGCAGCTGCTTCCATTTATGTTAACTAGCCTTCTACTCTGTGAATATATATATATACACACACACAGTATATACACATATTGCCTGAATGTCTTATTATCAGATTGATCAAAGTCTTTAGCAGGCCTTTAAGCAGGACTGCAGTCTCTTGGCTTTTCTTCTAGAGCAGCCTCCTTCCCAAAACAAGTGTGTGCTTAGGTCTGCTTTCTGTAAACTGCAGTGGAGGTGGATCTGGGGCATGAATCACTCCTTTCTGCATGATCAAATGTGTAGAATAAGATTACAGGGACTTTAATGAGCAGAGTTGATTTTCTTGGTCATCTGAATCTCAGGATTAGGTGCTCTTAGAATGCAGGGCTATTGACAGTGCAAAAATATAGCCTCATGTACATGAATTATCAGACCCTGGGCATATTTTCATGATATTTGTCCACTTTTACTGCAGTGTACCTTTAAATTTATGTGGGTAGTTGACCACATTTATGTTTTAAATATATTTATCCTCCTGACAGAGGCAAACTGCTTAGAAAAAGCAACAAATCTGCATACAGACAGAAATTCAGTTGAAATGAAACTTATCCCCCACTCTCAATAGCTGATCCACATGCAGCCTGCCTCTTACATTTGCAGCTAGCTCCAGCTGTTCCACATCACTGAAGTCTACAAGGCCCTCGGCATTTTTTGAAGCAGCTCTGATTGTGCACTCGTTTTGCAGTGTGGAGAGCTCCACACATATTTATTGTACATGCCAGTTTAAACAGCTGTACACTTGAAAAAACCATCCACATTTCCATGATTAGAATTTCAATTTACCATCACAAATATGCATATGTTTCATAGTAAATACATTTGGATGGTACAAATGGCTGAAGTACTGTGAAGTGACATCAATATTGGCTAATGGAAAAGCGCAGAGCAAGCTTTCGGATGCTTATTCATCAGACATAAAAATTAACCTAGAGCCTAGGAAATGCCAGCTTACCTTAGTTATCAATGTATAGTCCTCTGCAGGTGCATGACCAGCTGTCTTCATGGTCATGTTTAATAAATTCTATATAATTTTATATATATATATATATATATATATCCCCCGATCAGCATTAACATTATGACCACCCGCCTAATATTGAGTAGGTCCACCTTTTGCCGCCAAAACAGGCTCGACCGATTGAGGCATGGACTCCACTAGACCTCTGAAGGTATGCTGTGATATCTGGCACCAGTAGCAGATCTTTTAAGTCAGTAGCAGATCCTTTAACTCCTTCAAGTTGCAAGGTGGGGCCTCCATGGATCGGACTTGTTTTTTCAGCACATTCCACAGATGCTCGATTGAATTGAGATCTGGGGAATTTGGAGGCCAAACCAACACCTCAAACTCGTTCTTGTGTTGCTTAAACCATTTTTGAACCATTTTTGCAGAGTGGCAGGGCGCATTATCCTGCTGAAATCAGGGAATACTGTTTCCATGAAGGGGTGTACTTGGTCAGCAACAATGTTTAGGTAGGTGGTACGTGTCAAAGTAACATCCACATAAATGGCAGGACCCAACGTTTACCAGCAGAAGATTGCCCAAAGTGTCACACTGCCTCTGCAGCCTTGCCTTCTTTCCACAATGCATCCTGGTGCCATCTCTTCCCCAGGTAGGTGACACACATGCACCCGGCCATCCACATGATGTAAAAGAAAATGTGATTCATCAGACCAGGCCACTTTCTTTCATTGCTCCGTGGTCCAGTTCTGATGACCGATCTGCGGATACACAGCCCTATATGCAACAAACTGTTCAAACACCTTTCTATTAAAAGCAGCATTACCTTTTTCGGCAATTTAGGTTCCAGTAGCTCTTATATTAGATCAGACTGCATGAGGCAGCCTTTTTCTCCCCACATTCCTTGGACCACTTTTGGTAGATCCTGACCGCTGCAGACCAGGAACATCGCATAAAAACTGCAGTTTTGGTGTTGCTCTGACCAAGTCGTCTAGCCATCACAATTTGGCCCTTGTCAAAGTCGCTCAAATCCTTACGCTTGCCCATTTTTTCTACTTCCACCACATAAACTTCAGTTGCAAAATGCTCACTTGCTGCCTCATATATCCCACCCACTTCCAGGTGTCATTGTAACAAAATAATCAATATTATTTACTTCAATATATATATATATTTAAACTCCACTTCTGCTTAGCTGCTTTAGTAATTACAAAAGCCAATGACAATGTCCTCGCCCACAGTTTCTGTACCCGCACAGATCCTAAAGCAAGACCTTATAGAGATCCTGTCCATTTTTTAAAGGAATCAAAATGCCAGTTCCCTGGAATAGAAGACCTGTAATACTCACCTTCACGATGGCCCATGTCTCTTTCCCCCCCTCAGTTCCATTGCTGCAGTGTTCATCAGTCTTTTTGGCATCTGACACTTCTGGAAGTGTCAGAAGCCTGTGTCCATGCTGCAGTTCCTTTCTTCGACCTGTGTATCACTACAGGACTCAGCAGTGACATAGGGGTTGGAGGTTAAATTATAATTCTCTGTCAACATGGAGAGCAAAAAGGTCAGTACTGGTCTCTGGATCAAATAACCAACTTCATTAAAGAGTCAGTTCCCCCCAAACTAAATTTGTAAACTATGGGAGATCCTCAAACATGTTCAAAGCCAAGTCTACTCCATTGAGCTGAATCACCCACGGACTTGTTATATCTCTTAGAAACTTGAATGGCTGGTTTTCCAGGAACTAGTTTGTGTCTCTCCACCATTCCACAAAGCATAAACAAAGGCTTTGCTCTTCTGCAACTGGATTACATCATTATTCATTTTACAGTATGAAGAGCCCATCAGGGAAGTGTGATACCCTAATTTGGTTCGGTAACTCCCCTAACAAGAAAGCTGAGGTGGGAATTCTGGTTGATCTCACTGCTGGAGGTTCTAGAGTGATAACCTGTGTTTTTTTTTGTTACCAGTCATAAAAAAATAAAATATCTATGTTTATACATGTCAAATACTTGCCTCATTCAGGAACTCCAAGTCTTATATTTCTGCTACAGAGTAACACGATTTGCATATAAGCTGCAGCAGTGATAAGGGGGTCTCTGAGTGCACAATGCTTCTCTTTAAGCAGAAAAATCTCTAAGCTAGAAGCCCTAAAGCTAGCCAGGGGCTGAACAAGAAAAAATGTTTGAGTTCCCCATCTGCTTTAAACAGTGTGGATGGGGGATCTTCGCTACTGGGCTATTCTCACAACCGGTGCCCACAGCTATCAAAATACCTAAACAGTGACTGCAAATGATTGGCTGGCAATTTTTGGCCTGGCTCCTTTAACAAAAGTCGAATAAAAAATAAACTTTTGTTGAACGGAGTGGTGCCGATGGGTTCATCCACAGCTCGAATTTCATCCTCGTCCTGCTGAATTCAAGAAGTGTATGGCCAGCTTCAGAGATATAAGAAGCCAGGAATAACTCCAAGCTGAAAAGCCTCCATCTATACTCAAATACCACTTATGTGGCCTGAATATTCATAGACTTGTCATTAAATTCACTTACCAATTTTTACAGGAAATCCTGGGGGTAGCCTGAGAGTGATAAAGTCACGGAGTTTTGCAAATAGTGCATTGCTTATTGCCATGAGGTCAATGATAGGTGCCACCTGTTCAGCCAGAGAGAGGGGGTGGTTCTCACACAACCATAGTTTGGCTTTGAACCTACATGCATTTTACAAAGGAAGAAAATGTGTAATTAGTGATACCAAATAAGAGTCTGATAAAAAGAGAGTGCAATAGTGTATGGGCAACAATGTATGTATAATTGTTCTTATATATTCTATTCTACTGTGCTATATTTTATATATTATTTTCATGCCAGAATGTAATTGTTTATATATGGATGTGTGTGTAAATTGTATAGGTACCAAAATATTTCACTATCCTGAAGATAAACTTGTGCAAAGAGTCAAAAGTTGCTAGGGGTATTCTAAATGTTCCTCAAGAGAGAAGAGGGTGTTTTTATATCAGCAGAAATAAATAGGTTCACACCTTTGTGTTTGTTTTGATGCCTTTTTTTTTACCATTGTTTTCAATGCACGTTGATGTACATTTTTAATGTGTTTTAATACATCTTTTCTGTTGGCCAATAAAAAAATATATATGCTGTGACAATGCTCATTGTCACCTTTGAATCTTCTTCTTGGATTGTTTGTGCTGTGTATTGCTGTTTGTAATGCAGTAACATGTCAGGAATGAAGGGAAAGAGGGTAAAGACCAATAAGTAAAATGCAAAGTTTCTACTAACCTTTTCTCTTATTTATTTAGGGAGCTATATGTCAACCACTGTGATAAAAGTTGTCACCAATGGTTTCCCAGGCTCTGCTCTTTTCTCTCTGTATTTGTAGCAGTGGTAGAAGAGGGAGGGTGAGGCTGCAAGCCTACCAGGTAAGCAAACACTCCCACTCCTGCAGCCATCTTGCTCTGAGGTGGTGTGTGAGCACATAGCAGGTATCCAGGGGGGCGGCTTGTTATCAGGGGCTAAAAACGCATGAAAATGCATGCAAAATGCATCATACATGCTTTTTCATGTGACGCAGGCAGAAAACTGGACCTGAGCTATTTCTAACACACAGATATGAGCAGGGTCTATCTTTAAGGGAACCTTTACTCTCTGCGGCTAGAAATCCCATCAGCATGCAGCTCTGAATGCTGATATGAAATGATCTTACATTCATTAGTTAAACAAACATATTTTCATTTTATTTACAATTTGTGGTTTTCTACTTCCTGGTTCTCTTTGGCAAAAGTGATGTAATGTGCCCAAGCATTGCATCCTCGGAAGCTTACATCAGCAGAGCATTGCTGGGAAATCTCATCTGTAAATTCATGAGAGCTCAGGGAAAGGCATTGATGATGTGCATGATCACATGTCCTAGTCACATGTGCCAGAGTTCCAGGAAGTAAAGGGAGATTGATTTGTCTGCCCTTAGTGAAAATGGCCACTGTGAGAAGAATGGGGAGGAAAAGAAAAACAAGGTATGCAAAGAATAAAAAGTCTGATATTATCTAAAAGTATCTGTTTGTAGATTGTCAGTACTAAACATTCCTAAAGGTGTCTTTGTTGTTATTTTGAAGATATGGGTAAAGGTCCTCTTTAACATCGTCTTTATTAACACAAGCGTTTTAGAACTTTTTGACATGCATGTTAAAATGGGCCTAAGTGCACTGCATGTTTATACTGTATATTTTGGGTAATGTGGTTATGTAGGTGGCACTGTTTCTCACATTGCTTAGATTATTCATAATCAGCACCACTCACTTCTGAGTTTTGGTAGTGAGCTCCATGGGTCGCCCCATATCCCGGTGTCCCAGCTCGAAGTTAGGATCAAAGTATTCATCCGGTGTAATGGCTGTTGGATTGGTCTGACTAAAAGTCTGGGTAATTAATGTCTGCTAAAAAAAACATTTGTTAAAAGCAAACAATTATTTTATAGTCTTTTACAGTTTTTTTAGATATGTGATTGTGAACAGCTTAATGTAAACATTTGTATCAATAAGTGATTAGGGAAATGTACAATAATGTTTTAGATATACAGAAATAATATATTAGCTTGATATTATTACTGTTATCAATATGTGCTAATGTTATAAAAACCTTGTTCCACCATTTAAATATACACATACATACACTTACCATATTCAATGAAAACAATTCACCTCTCTTATTAGCAAACGACTTCCATCGCATGAAGATTGTACCTTCCTAATTGTATAAGCTAATCTTATACTTATTAAACTCAACTATTGTAATAACATTTGGTTCTCATGAAAACTAACTGTATGTGTGAAAAGTTCGGTTTTGTTTTACTGGTTACTCCCCCTGTGTCAGTTTTAATTTCTTACTTTCTGATAATGCATCTTGTCAACTATTGTCTCTTCTATTATAAACAATAGACTGAAGCCAAAAACAATGCACTTCCAATGTGGCTGATAGTTCCACTTTAAAATAAGATTAACTTTTTTTTTTTCAATAAAGTACCAGTTAAAGCAAATATACATTGCCAAGCAAAGTAACTTTCTGTCTAGTTAAAGATCACATGGTGACAGGGCAGTCTCCATCAGCTGTCCATCTATTAGTTTGGAGAAGTGAGGAGCAGGTGGGGGGGGGGTTTATCAGGGGAATGGCTTGCCTTCCTGTGTCTGTGTGTTTGTGGAGACAAACACAGCTTACTAGCGCACACAAAGGTGGCTCTATAGGAATCTGCAAGGAAAAGGAGTTACTCTAAAAAAGGACATCAGCGCCATGCTTAGCGGATCAGCTGCTAATTCTTCAGGAAACCTTTAAATATCAAAAAGCAGCATCTACTGTAAGTGATTTAATCAGCATTTGTAATAGCTTAAAAAACCTTTCACTTTAATCTTTAAGATAAATACTGCAAAATAACTAAAAATATGTACTGGAGATACAAAATACTTTCTCTTTAAAGTTTGAGGATCTTGTTTCTGTATATAGACTGAATGCTGCTGATTACTAAGGTCCTTTGACTGGATGGTGGGCCTGCGAGGGTTGGAGCAAAGTTCTGATGGTATTTTCAGGCACATTGTCATGCTTATTCAATTTTCCGTATTATGGGTATAACAATAATACTAATAATTTCCTATGGGGCCATCAAGAAACCACTGAAAAACAAAACAACTGCTGCCTGTGTCAGACTTGCTAAAGAGCACTTGGATGTTTCACAGAATTGTTGTTGGTTGTATGTTTAGGGAGCAAATGAGAAATGCTTTTATTATTGGCCTTTTTTGTATTTTATTGTGGTTAATGTGTAAACTGTTATGTTTTAATACTGTTTACCAACAACAAAACCACATCCCAACTGTGAAGCATGGTGAATAACGTGTAATAGTAATGTGCTCCCTTTCTGCATAAATGCCTAAAAGGGTTGCAGTTATTGAATACATCTGTGGTGCTGTGGTGTGAGCTGGATAAAGATATCCAAATATATATACATGAACTAACTAAAACAGCTTTGTATATAGTATTGGGACTAAATAACTCCCGCCCCACAGTTCTGAAACGTTTTTGTTTCAAATGGTTCAAAATTGTTGAAACTTACATGCGATACACTAAAACATTGCCAGAGAAGAATGAGGCATGTGGGCCACATATGTTCGAGAAGGGATTAGGATTATAGGCTTTTCAGATAAAGAGTTTTACCAGATTTCAGTGACTAGAATATCTGAAATGTCAGATCATTGGATACAGGATCTAGCATCTGTATTACAAAAGTTTAAAAATTGTGCCACAGGTTTAGAATCTTCACAAGGTTTATGGAAATTCAAGTAATTTATATGTCTATTTACTGCTGTGGGTTGCTTTAGTCTTATAAGTGGAAGTGAGGCCAGTGGTGTACCGTATTTTGGTTTTGTACTGCTCTAGACAAGACTACATTCAGGTACCACCAATCTAAATTTGTCCCACCCCTTCCTGTTTAAGACATTTTGCATAACCTGTCAGTTGCTGGATACAGCGTACACACAATATCCAGCTTCTTACAGGTTGCGCTATCAGCGTAGCAGGGAAGCCCGCTGTGCATTTGACTTATCCTGTCAGAAGCTGGATACAGTGAGTGTCTGTTTTAATAGTAACAGGTACGCGTTGTATCATTTCTGCCAGTGTCAGAGAGGAGGGTGAGCTTGTTGGTGGATTCGAGTAAGGATAATTTATTTCATTTTCTCTTAATGGCAGGTGAGGCTCTGCCTTAATGGTTTGAGGGTGGCATTTTCTGCCGCTCCCCTGGAAAGTGCTGCCCAAGACAAATGCCTAGTTTACCTTGCGGTAAAGATGCCTCTGAGAGAGGCATGTAAATACCTTCTACACTGCACGGAGGATGGCCAACAGGCCTGAAAGAGCCATATGCAGTTAGAAATGAATGGCTCTGTAATATTAGGCTGTATCTGTGCTGTAAACCAGCAGGTCTGGATGCACAGTTGGCTCACGGGCAAAAAGGAATGATTTGAAAGTTTATGCTCAGTACCTTAAAATAAGGAATAGAACCTTTTAATTTTGGGTTTGTGATAGAAGTGAGACAAGAAGAAACCTGTTCTGTTTCAAGAAGGCTCTACTGTGCTTCACACTGGTTACTTGATGAGCGTTTTGGGTAATTTTGCCACACCTCATCATTGCTTGTCTGGTTATACTTTTTTTTAAATAACACTAAATCATAAAAGAATTTAATTATCAAAATATTGAGGGGAAACATCTAAGGCTGGCCTTAGGCAGACAAATCTGCATATCCTCTGTAGCTTCAGGACGTAAGCTGTTTCACACCTGGAGGGCAGAATAGTAACACCTTCCTTTCCTCTGCTCAAAAAGGAAAGGTTACAATTTATAGATCATTGGTTCGGCCTCATCTGGAGTACGCGGTCCAGTTTTGGCTGCCGGTACTAAGAAGGGATGTCCTTGAGCTGGAGAGAGTCCAGCAGAGGGCAACCAAACTAATTAGGGGAATGGAGGACCAGAGCTGTGAGACAAGGTTACTGAATTTAAACATGTTCACGTTGGAAGTAAGGAGATTAAGGGGGATATGATTTTCATGTACAAGATGTTCAATGGTGACAGCAACATTGGCAACAAACTCTTTAAGTTTAACTCCATTACAAAGACTAGAGGCCACCACCTAAAGTTGGTGGAGAAAAAATTCCAGCACAAGGGGCGAAGGGGGTTCTTCACAGTAAGAGCGGTTAGGGTCTGGAACTCACTGCCACCTGCAGTGATTTCAGCTAAGAGTGTGGAATTGTTCAAGAAACTTTTGGACGATTTCCTGAGGGACCGTAATATTCAGGGATACAAGTATTCCTAAAGTGGACCTATATGGGTTAGACTTGATGGACTTATGTCTTTATTCAACCCCAAATACTATGAAACTATGTAACTATGTAACAATCGGTCCCCTGGATACATCTGTGTGTAATAACGATACTGCAAATAAAGTGTTCCTGTTACCCCCTAGAATACATCTAAACAGCCTGATTACTGCCTGAGCATCACACAGGATGATCATCATACTTGGAGCAGGTCAGTCCAGTGGCGTAACCAGAGTTATGGGCGCCCGGGGCAAGTGACCCCCCCGCACCCCCGGTTGTTACGCCACTGGGTCAGTCCATTTATAGCTATACTTAGGGAGTGTCTGTGTTGTCCCACAGCAACCAAAGACATTCTTCATTTAAAAAAAAAAACGAAAGAAACAAAAGGAACGTGCTAAATAAGGTCAGTCAGGGCAAAGTAACTGACTGTTACTGCCACATACACAAAGTTTCTACCACACTGTATTGTTTCTTTATTACACGCCAGTAGATATAGTAACAAAAGAACTATCAGTGCTACAGTACACTGGCATCAGCTGAAAGCAGTGGACGTGTTCCAGACATTTGCACAAATACATTACCACAAGCCGAATAAAAAGCAAATGACTGTCAAACCTAGCCTTGCAGCCAAGAATGCCATGATGTTTTAATCAATTCCAGGACAGGCCAATTACAGCTATTTAAAGAGGCTTTGCGAGAGCCAGTTCATAGCAGGATATCCAGGTAAACAATATGCAAGGACAAAAGGTGTACTCTGCAGTACACTGTATATTCTCTGTAATGCTCAAGGTTCATTTTCACAATATTTTAACTAAATATTAGAAATTCACTAAACCTAAAAACGAGTTGCTTTATCTATAGGAATCTATACGTATACATTTTTTCTTCACTAACAAGTGGAAAGTGCAGTACTGTGTTAGTCATAGATTGGAGTAGGAAAGTAAAAATTTAGGTGAATCCCATTTATTGGCTTACTGAATATATTTTAGGATGTAAGCTTCAAAAAAAAAAATCAGTGGCTTATTTATAGCAGAACAGTGGATACCACTATTCACTTTCTGTTTGACACCACAGCTTTTGCTGCAAACTGTGTCTGTGTTCTACAAGTATTTCATAAAATGAGGACACACTGTGAAGCCTACGATGACCAACGGAGTTCTCACTGTAGAGAGAACTCCATGATTACAAGAGACAGGTCATATGACCTTGACAGATCATGTGCCCGAGCTCTCGTCCTCTCAGCATTTTATTTTCGTGATTCATTTATTGTAATAAATTCCACTCTGCTTGCTTTTTAGTCATAAAACATTACTGCTGCTTTATAAATGGTTCCTTCAGTTTTCTTCTGCTTAGGCATAGTTTTATAACAAAACAAAAAAATACTTATATGACACAAGTCATACACATATACACACATATACAGAGGATATCAACGAACTCAAGGTATTAATTAACTTTTTTTGTCTTTGCCTCAGCATCTAGATTTCCTTGTTTGTTGTTGGTTTAATTAACTTGTTTTCTTTGATGCCCACTGTACTTGAGTATATAATTATGATTTTTGGAGAAACCATATTTGAAGAAGCTTTTCAAAAGCTTGCATAAATATGTTTAATTAGCCAACAAAAGGAATCGCCTACATTTTTACCTTGCAATAAACATTGCTAAAAGCAGACCTTGCATGTCATTTAACCCACTTAAATAAACAAAGGACTATCTAATAATGCCCTATTTCATCTAGTGTCAGGTCCATTAAATCTTCCCTTGTAGCAGTGTGTATTGGAGCAGCCAAATTTCTAGGGTGACGGCTTACCAATTCCCCCCTTGCTCACGTACTCTGACATTTTGTGAAACTTCAGACACCCATGAATATAAGTGCAGCTCCCAAGGCAGGACAGAGTTCGCAGACATCACACAACTAGCACACCAAGAACTCTGGGTCATCTCACAGAGTGGCACAGAATTAGAAATCTCCATAAAATACTGACTTTACTGTACCATTAAATATTTTTACAGGTTCATCATTTTTATTTGTTGTTCATTTAAGCTTTTTAAAAATAATTAAAACAAGGTCTACACCAGCCTGGTCACACTGTGATAACCCTGTACATATACAGTATATTCTCCTACGGCTAAGGTCTCATTAGTTTTATAGCATCTATGTAATCCTCAGACATATTGACTAATCTCAATTATAGCATATCATATTCGTGACCTCCAGAGGAGATCATAATTACAGGTACTTTGTCACATTTTCTTTGTGACGTGTTTTACGGTCTACATACACTAGGGGGAAAGTATAATCCATTATTATAGTATACTGAATGCTTACTCATCTCCTCAGGCAACCACTCATGTGAATGTACCTGTGGGGTCCCATTAGTGCTCGTCTCAAATGATGATGGAAGCTGTCAGCTTCTAAGAGGCCTGTCCTCTGTCTGTTGGCATCTACAGCCACGTGGAGCATATGGCTAGAGCAAAACAGACATTTGCTCTCTGTGGATGTAAATGCAAACAGAAGTGTAGACAGGTAGGTGAATAATTTAAATAATAATTTATCAACAGTAAAAATCATTCTTTAATACCTTGATCCACCTTTTATTTCCTATTATCTAACATCTTAGGCTTAGTAGAAGCTGGCTACAATGTAGTCCAATGACAATTCTGGGCTGGAAATTACCTCCTGCAATAATCATATCTCCATTTTACAAACCATTTGCTAAATATGCTCTAGGAACTATTTCCTGGAACTTTTGGGCAGCACAGTGGTGTAGTGGTTAGCACTTCTCCCTGGCAGCACTGGGGGTCCCTGGTCACTACCTGCATGGAGTTTGCATGTTCTCCCTGTGTTTGCGTGGGTTTCCTCCGGGTACTCCGGTTTCCCCTCACACTCCAAAGACACGCTGGAAGGTTAATTGGCTCCTCTCTAAATTGGCCTTTGTGTGTATCCATGTGAGATAGGGACCTTAGATTGTAAGCTCCTTGAGGGCAGGGACTGATGTCAATGTACAACTATGTAAAGCACTGCCTAAAATTGTCAGCGCTATATAAATACCTGTAATAAAAAATGCCAAACATCTGGAAATATTTCTCAACGGTCTTTCACATAAACAGACTTGTGTTTTTAGGTGTATTGCCCTAAATACATGAATTCTTACTCTGCCACAGGACATTTTAAAGTCCAATTACACTCAAAACAGGTACTTAACCTTTCTGGGGTTGATAACACTGAATCACATGAGATACTTATAAATGTCAGGTTCTTCAGTGCTAAGTGTTTTTGAAGTAATACCCAGCTGTCACTTTTTATTGCAAAGCCAGGCAAAAGTGTCATGATTCTCAGGCAGGTTCTCCAATGTATATAATACACTAATACAGTAAGCTTTTTGTTATGAGACACAAAATACTGCAGTGATCTCTAGTGAATTAAATCCATGCCTGATCGATATACGATGCAAACATTTTATTATCTTGTAACGTGTGGGTGGGAAACATTTTTTTTGCATTTTTTATGTTACTTAAATTTTAACTTTTTTTTTTTTTACACTTAACCTTATTGCTATCGCATAGGGGGCTAACAGGCCCAATTTTAGACTGTAAGCCCTCAGGGGCAGGGCCCTCCTTACCATCATGTCTTGAATTGCATTGTAATGTCTCCCTTATATTGTAAAGCGCTGCGCCAACTGTTGGCATTATATAAATCCTGTATAATAATAATATGTAATACCAAATGAGATGTGACATATCCTCTTTATGGAGACATCAGGGGTCTTTCAGACCCCTAATATCACCTAGGGACCCCAAAGTAGCTGATGAAGCAGAGATCTGCTTCACCAGCTTCTTCTCCTGGCTTTACTTATACCTTCAGTTCAAGGACCTATTTCTGTATAACATTAAGTGATATGGGAAGTGACATGCAGGGAAATGTAGCATACCCTTACTGCCATAGAAATTATTTAAATCACTACAACCATTTTTTCACTGTCACCTGATGGTATGCCTACAGGTATAAAATTATAATAACTAAATGCGTGTCTCACAGCCAATCACTTTGCAGGAGTGTAATTTCTCTTTTAATTATAATTATAAAGCCAGCATTTCCTAGGCCCACTTTTCTTTGCTCCAGGTATAATAAGACAGCTTTAAATTCTCCTTTATGATCTAAGGGTAAGTAAGGTTCTCACAATATAATCAATGATAATTGCTGGACATGAAGCTGGTATGATCACATTCTGACAAAACAGGCATCGATTATACTGGTTTTAGGGGGACAGCTAGTACAGACTTTACAGTACAATCACACAGCACAGCATGGAAGGATGCTGCAAATAAACTGTTATTCAGAGCTACAAAAATAATACTTACCCCATTGTTTGGTCCTACGTGCTGCTCAGCTATCCCCAGGAATGATTGCAAAGGTGTTTTGCTACCTGCAAAGAAAATGGAAAAATAGCTGACAAACAGGACAAACCTAAGAATTTACTCTGCCTTGTACAACAGATTAACTGTCACCCTTCTCTTTCCTTCTCCCAAGCATCACTATTGTTCATGTGAGTGCTTTATATAATACAAAGCAGTAAGAGTCATCATAATCATTGCTATCCATAAGTAACCATCAACTGAATCTAATTACAGAGGCAGGCACTCGACTTCAGTAGAATCTTAAAAATCAACTTTTAGAAAAAAAATGAAATAAAGTTTATGGCAGTAGCCACATCAGATTTCATATTTAATTCTCTAGTGTGTACTAAATCTAATAATTAGTTCAGGTATTCAGCTAGTAGCACAGGCACATCTAGATGATGCCTTAAGCAGGTTCAGGGTTACAACTGCTTGTTAAAATAGGTTCATCATAACATTTTAAAGTTCTACCTTAAGAAATCTCAAATAGTTGACTTCCTTAAAGAAACACTGTCACCTATGACCATTCAGGGCAATGACACGGGGGGGAATTTATCAAAACTAGAACTAGAACTAGCAACTAATCAGCTTCTCTCATTCTTTGTTCATTTAAGATTTGAAAAAGAGAGAGAGGCGCCGAACTATGTGGAGTGCATTATAAATTAACATGATCTGTGTGCAGTACCACTATACAATCTGCAGATGGCATTGCTATCCAGTGACGTCTAATACTTAGCTGTTCCTTGGTTAATTCATAAGAAATACATTAGCATGTATTTCTGATTCGGTAAACAAAGCAAGTAGAGTCCTTTCCTGTATTAAGAGGGGAATGTCTTGCAAGGACAAGTCCGTAATTGTGCCACTTTAATGATGACTGGTTCGGCCTCATCTAGAGTACGCGGTCCAGTTTTGGGCACCAGTGAACAGAGGGGATGTCCTTGAACTGGAAAGAGTCCAGAGGAGGGCAACCAAACTCATAAAGGGGATGGAGGACCTGAGCTATGAGAACAGGCTACTAAAATTAAACATGTTCTCCTTGGAAGTAAGGAGATTAAGGGGGACATGATTTTCATGTATAAAATGTTTACCGGGGATAGTAACATTAGCAGCACACTCTTTACATTTTACTCGATGACAAGGACGAAAGGCCACCACTTCAAATTGGTGGAGAAAAAATGTCAGCACAAGGGGCGAAGGGGTTTCTTCTTAGTTAGATCAGTCAGGGTCCCAAACTCGCTGCCACATGCTGTGATTTCGGCTGAGAGTGTGGAATCGTTATATATACAGGGGTACAAGTACTCTTAAGATTGAGATCGCACTACAGCCACGCCCCTCACCCATAGTGCGATCACCCGCACCCAGAACGCAGGCACATAAGTGCCTACGTTCCGGTCCAGTGCGATCTGCAAAAATGCTGCAAGCACTATTTTTGCAGATTGCACTGGACCGGAATGCAGGCAGGCGATCACACTGTGGGCGGGGGGCATGGCTGCGGTGCCATTGACTTCAATACAACCCTCCTGCCCCTGAATGCAGGGGGTCGGCCGGCTTGCATTCAAGTGCGTTCTAGAGGCGTCGGCGTCCTGTCCTCCCGCGGTGCTCATGTGGCCGACGTTGCATACGAGTAGAGGTGTTTTGCCCCTTTCCGTCTGCGGCGTCTAACACATTCAGCTGACAGCCACACGAGCATGGTCGTAGCTAGCTCCTTTTGCACTCGAGGTAAGAAAAAAACTGTGCCCCCCCAACAGCGCCCAGGATTTATTTTTTTTACTATTTTCTTATTTGTTATTTAGTTTTAATCTAAGTTTTTTTTTTACTGTTGGGGGGCTTCTGGTAAATATAATGTTGGCCATTCGGACGGAGCCACTGTCACAGCAGCATGTGCGGTGAGGAGAGAGAGATCCGTCGGCTGTCAGATCCAGGCGGAGCGGCTCTCTCTCTCCTCACCACTTGGCATGTTGCTGTGATAGCGGCTCCGCCCCCCGCTGCTGCAGCGCTTCGTTCACTTCTCCTCAGGAGAAGGCAGGAGGACAGGACATCGCGATCTACCAGGGATCGCGATCGACCTAATGGGCACCCCTGCAGTAACCCATTAAAGTTAATAATCTTGATGCTTGTTATGAGTTATTGCACTTTGGACATCTTCGAATAACCCCAAGATACTATTTTACATCAAGCAGAATGTCTTGAATTAAAAGGATGCATGTTGTGTCAATAAAGCAGACTTTCCTCAGTTACCGAATCATACCCAGTTAAGAACTGTTCCCTAAGTCCCAAGCAACAGTTATTAAACTACAATGATAACTTTTGTGTGTCAATATAATTCAGGCTGGATAAGCAAAATGTCTTAGGCCAACCTAGGTCATAGCACTGAAGACATCTTCTGATTATTATTATCATGGTGTCCACTGTCATGGAATATTATTAGCTTATTCTATTACCTTTGCTCTTTCCTTTGTGCTGGTCTGATAAATGTTCTGTGCGGGTTCTAGTGATTAATTCTACATTGGAAGCCCCATACACCTGAGAAAAGAGTTAGAAGAGACATTTTTTAGAAGCTGTACTTTATATGTGTTTATTCAAACAGCGAGGGCTTTCCTTTACTGAAAAGAACCTGTCAATCACAAACTATACTGGTGGTCAATCAGCCCAGAAACATCTTTGAAGATTATGTGACCCATCCCACACTCCATAACAACACATACAGTATCTCACAGAAGTGAGTACACCCCTCACATTTTTGTAAATATTTTATTATATAATTTCATGTGACGACACAAAAGAAATGACACTTTGCTACAATGTAAAGTAGTGAGTGTACAGCTTGTATATCAGTGTGCATTTGCTGTCCCCTCAAAATAACTCAGCACACAGCCATTAATGTCTAAACCGCTGGCAACAAAAATGAGTACACCCCTAAGTGAAAATGTCCAAATTGGGCCCAAAGTGTCAATATTTTGTGTGGCCACCATTATTTTCCAGCACTGCATTAACCCTCTTGGGGATGGAGTTCACCAGAGCTTCACAGGTTGCCACTGGAGTCCTCTTCCACTCCTCCATGACGGCATCACGGAGCTGGTAGATGTTAGAGAAACTAGAAAAACATTGCACAGCGGTGTGGCTTCTACATATTTTTGGCCAAAAGTTTGTGCAACTAAAACCTCTGCTTTTAACGCATACTGTTGACAGGGTAATTTGTTTTGTTGCAGGTTAGCTGGCAGGTGAGCTGGGGATTTTTTGTGTTTTGTATAGATGTAAGAGACCTTGCGCTCCTCCACAGATGCTCAATAGGGTTTAGGTCTGGAGACATGCTTGGCCAGTCCATCACCTTTACCCTCAGCTTCTTTAGCAAGGCAGTGGTCGCCCTGGAGGTGTGTTTGGGGTCATTATCATGTTGGAATACTGCACTGCGGCCCAGTCTCCAAAGGGAGGAGATCATGCTCTGCTTCAGTATGTCACAGTACATGTTGGAATTCATGGTTCCCTCAATGAACTGTAGCTCCCCAGTGCTGGCAGCACTCATGCAGCCCCAGACCATAACACTCCCACCACCATGCTTGACTGTAGGCAAGACACACTTGTCTTTGTACTCACCTGGTTGCCGCCACACACGCTTGACACTATCTGAATCAAATAATTTTATCTTGGTCTCATCAGACCACAGGACATGGTTCCAGTAATCTATGTCCTTAGTCTGCATGTCTTCAGCAAACTGTCTGCGGGCTTTCTTGTGCATCATCTTTAGAAGAGGCTTCCTTCTGGGACGACAGCCATGCAGACCAATTTGATGCAGTGTGCGGCATGTGGCCTGAGCACTGACAGGCTGACCCCCCACCCCTGCAACCTCTGCAGCAATGCTGGCAGCACTCATACGTCTATTTCCCAAAGACAACCTCTGGATATGACGCTGAGCATGTACACTCAACTTCTTTGGTCGACCCTGGCGAGGCCTGTTCTGAGTGGAACCTGTCCTGTTAAACCGCTGTATGGTCTTGGCCACCGTGCTCCAGCTCAGTTTCAGGGCCTTGGCAATGTTCTCATAGCCTAGGCAATCTTTATGTAGAGCAACAATTCTTTTTTTCAGATCCTCAGAGAGTTCTTTTGCCATGAGGTGCCATGTCGAACTTCCAGTGACCAGTATGAGAGAGTGAGAGTAATAACACCAAATTTAACACACCAGCTCCCCATTCACACCTGAGACCTTGTAACACTAACGAATCACATGTCAACGGGAAGGGAAAATGGCTAATTGGGCCCAATTTGGACATTTTCACTTAGGGGTGTATTCACTTTGGTTGACAGCGGTTTAGACATTAATGGCTGTGTGTTGAGTTACTCTGAGGGGGCAGCAAATGCACACTGATATACAAGCTGTACACTCACTACTTCACATTGTAGCAAGTGTCATTTCTTCTGTCGTCACATGAAATTATATAATAAAATATTTACAAAAATGTGAGGGGTGTACTCACTTCTGTGAGATACTATACCAGCGGTTTTATGGAAGTGGACCAGCCTGCCCAGCACCATTGCAGCAACTGTATTCTCTGGCACAAACTGTTTTGACATCCAGCTCATGCGCTGACAGAAGCCACAGAAAAGGAAAGACGTGTATGGCGTAAATGCAAGAAAATAGATGGCTATTGTTCTCTATGGCATCTCCAAGGGCATGTGCCAGGTTTCAAAGCAGTCTGAAAATGCCAAAGATGAGAACCCTATGCTGGTTCTGTGGCCTCAGCATAGTTATATCTTTGGAGCTGCATAAGGACATAATAATATTGTGTACAGATAAGTACAAGTAGTTCCATCCATGCCAGCTGTTACTACATAGAAGGATTTCCTAACATGTTACATATTTCTTCTACTGTAAGTAGTAGTAATATTCCTTTGAATAAAGGCCTGCAGTGCTCCACCTTATGATAAGCTGAAAATACTCTTCTATCCCAGGAAAGCAATGCTTGCATTTTTAGTCTAATGTATTTGTGCAGGTAACACTCCTAACCTTCGCTTCATAGCCATTAATAACCTCCGTTTTCTCGCTTCTCCACCCCAGGATTCCTGATTTGTTCCTGTGCAGCAAATATGAACAAAACAAAAATATTTATGATTTTTTTTAAATAAACACAATATGATTAACAGTCACACATGGAAAAATATACAATTTTCCCCCCTTTAAGTTCTTTCAAATTATGTTAAATATATACATTTTATAATGACTTAGTAGGTTTGTGTGTTAATCTGTACTTCAAAATCCATATTTCTTTTTCACCTGATAGAGTAATTCCCACTCATTAATGCTGAGGCGTTTTGTGCACAAAATACTTTTGCAACATCATGTTTATTTACTTTTTAAATCTGAAGTCCAGGCTGATATAAAAGACACAAATTAATAAAGTCCCTATACAGCAGTGGTTAGAAAGAGAGGGAGAAGAAGCGCGAGGAACCCAACAGAATGTGATAAGAGGAGAGAGCAGTGTGACAGAAAGATGAGTTCATCAGCCTGCTGCTTCTCCTTTTACTCTCCAGTCACAAGCTGGGGGAGGAACAAGACCTGTGGGTCTCTTAGGACTGTGTGGACAGAGATAAAATATCTCCCCTTAACATATTTCATCTGAGTATGTAGCTGTTTGCCTGATGTTCAGCTTTAATCTATTTTCATTTTAATGGTAAATGTATTGATATTTTTGTTATGTAATGAATGATGACACTTGATTTTTCATTTCAGTCAAATCATCATAGTTATCAATTAATCAATCATATGCTCCGATCTAATTAGTGGATGAAAACTTAATACTAGCAATGTCTATACAAACAGAATATTTTTGGAGTGGACTCAGATTTCTTTGTAACCCACTTATGATTCCAGCACAGAAGTTTTTACTATTCCCTACTAAATCAAAAATGAAAAAAAAGTGTTGGCTATGGAAACACTTTATTCATTCGCCTTGTTAATACAAATATTTGTATTCTGTATACACCACAATTCTGACAAATTTCACTGACCTCTCAAAGGCAATGTTCTTGGTGTCCAGCTGAGTAGTGACTACTGGGGCTGTCAGGCGGCCCATGGCCTGTTCCTCGGTGGGCTGCACAGCAGCCAGAAGAACTTCATGGTCCTGGGAACCTATAGTTAGAGTTTCAGAGAAGACAACTCTTTTGTCATGGTCGATTTCCATGACCACAGCGCTGGTGTCTGTGGGTGCATAATAAAGTATGTAGTTAGAGACAGAATGAGAATACCGTAACTGAACAAATTCCATAAAACAGTACATATCTCTTATGATGAAGTGCAGTACCTGCAGAGTAACCAAATTAATTACCCATACCATTCAATCAGAAAATATCTTAACTGACCTGACCACTGTAAAATTCAATACAAAAATCAGAATCAGAAATCTGACTGGTTACTAGGGGTAGTTGTAAGTGTCAAACACTTAACCAACCCATAAACATGAGATAAAAGTCAACAGAAACAAACAATTTTAACACGTATGGACAACTGCCAGCAAGAGTTTTTTTCATCAAAGATCTTTTCCAACTTTTAGACTTGTATCTGCCAAATAGTCATGCAAGGTTGGATTTTCCTATCACTATTATTTTCCCCTGTGATAAGTAATGTGGATGTGTAACCATTCCCCACCCCTTCCCCAAGCTCAATACGCATTAAAAAATGTTGACTGAATAATTTTGATCAGATTATACAGGATTTTGGAAAGATGTTTTAGCATTTGTATTGTGCCTGGATGTTTAACCGCCATCTGATATCTGGACTGGTCATGAATAATATTTTTGAAACGGCTGCCACTAATCTAATATCTATGAACTGCACAGTGTAAGGGACATAATGAGACTGACCCCAAGTACTGGGGTGGGTAGAACACAGTTTCCATCATGCTAGAAAAATACTTTAGATTTACCTCTAATTGTTACCTTTGCCAAAGTCAAAATTGACCCATTCACTGCGACTTATTTAGTAAAGAAAACAAAGGAGATGTGCAAAGAGCAGTAACTAACATGGCAGTAGCATGTGGGTCCCACTATCCCTGATGAAGTTTTCAATTACCCTGTTGTGGCAGAAGACATTAACTAGCAAACATGGCACTGATGTCTTCCCAGAGCCACCAATAATAGGAAGCCAGACAATAGCTTAGCCTTTCATATCTCATCAGTAACTGAAATATCACCTAAGAGGGCGTACTGATCCTTTAAGACATGACTTCTGATTGTAATATTTAACCACATCTACTCCTTGTCCTACTAAATAAACCCAAATAACCTACATAAATGGCAATTACAGCTGAACCTACACCTATTATGTCAAGCTGAACCAATATTGTAATTATTCCAACGATTTACATGACTCTTCCCTGAGATCACTCACCTTGTCCCCTGAAGATAAAACTGCGGTTCCCTCGTTGCCAAGTCATATGATCAAAGCCGAGCAATGTAGTGTCTACACGAAGGTTCTGCCCACTCTTCCAAACCTTGTATGTGTCACTGGGGCAGATCTTGGAGACCAAGGGCACTAAAAAATAGAGAAGAGCTGCAAGCACTGCAAAATCTCAGGAATCATTGAAACTCGTTCTATAGGCCACGTTATAGATTTTAGATTTATCTACATTTTTAGGCTTTAGCCTAAAGATGTAGGCTTTATTTCTGTCAAGCTGAAGATTCATTCATCTTCTGAGCAGATAAAGAAAAGCTGCATCTTTGTTTATTCAGAAAATCTCAGTGTGGTTCCTTTGTAAGGCCAGTGAAGATTACTACGGTATTCTATTTTTATACAGCAGAACACATTTTCAACTGGTTGATTTAACAGACCTAATCACTGCCTGTCTAATTCTCTGAAGATGCATTTCAGGGTTTTGCTTCCTATTGTGAATATTGTTTCTGTGATAAAAATAAAAACCTTAGTGCAAAGAATGGCCCACTTACACTGTGAAAACTGGTGTAGTGGACAGGTGTAGTGGACAATAACAGTCCCCCCACATTGTGTGGGAAACCTCCCACGTGTGTACATTACCTTCTCACATACTCTTAAAGAATGGGAAATAAAGAGTGCAGTTAAATAGCAATGAATATTTCAGTAAGTTTTATTGTTTTTAACAAAAGTTCCACTTTAATGCAATTATCTTGGTTGTATAAAAATGACCAGGGACACTTAATAGCTTATCACAGACATACATGGTGGTAGGAAGGGAATATGCTTGATCCAAAGTTAGTTGCATTTCACATCGTGTAGCAGAGTCTGTTATGTAAGTTAGACAGCTCTTAAACACAAAAGGGCAAGTCAATTAAATGGTGCCTCAGATGGAATCAAATAGTGTGTAGTATACAGTTTACTTCAGAGGTAACAGGTTAAACAGCTTCAATTGAATTTGATGAAACTTGGAATAAAATATTTTCTTTTTTCTGCAAACAGGCTTCAGTAGCTATTTATTGAAAGTGTCAAAGGTCACCTTATAAATACCCCCCTGGTGTCACTTAGAAAGAGAGAAAGAACAGACAGCTGGGGTACCTGCTGGTTTAAATCAGCCAAATAAAGTGTTATCTACTGTCTATGGATACAATAAGAATAGCCATTGATAGACAGACCCTTCAATGAGAATGTTAGCTGTTTGTCCCCTGTTGCGAGCTCCACATTGCTAACACCTGGCTGCACAACTAAAGAATGTTTCCCTTTTTATACAAAAAAAGACATATCCTAAACCACCTATACAGTTTATAAGATTTCTTATATGATAAGTAGAACAACAGCTTGCTAAACTCATATGTTCGATATTGCCCCCTTGTTATCCTGCCTGTCACATGTGGTGCTTAGAATGACCATATCATCTGTAAGTAGTGGGCCATGCAGTGGACATATGCCACAGATAATTTGAGAAGACCTATATTTAGATGACCTATTGCTAGGGATGTCCCGATACCAGGCATTTTTAAGAGTACTTGGACTCGTGAAAATGCCCCGATACTAAAGACGGTTGCTGAGGGAACTCAGGCAGGCTGCTGGGGACCATGCCATAGCTGTCTTTGACAGCGACAGTCCAGCCCCATCTCCTTCTCCTTTCCGGCACCCGCAGAGACAGGCACAGCACTGGACAGTGCCACAACGCCCGTACTTCCCTGAAGCCCGGCACCCACCTGTTCAGCCATGGGGATCCCGGCACCCCGGTAATTGGTATCGTCAAGTACCTGAGGTAGATTACTTGATCTTGAAAAAAATTGTATCGGGACATCCCTACTTATTGCCATATAAAAATAGGTTATTATTTTCCAGATCACAGAAACAAATTAATATTTCCATTAGCAAAAGTCAGCTCTATAAAGTTTTTTAAAGGTTTTACTATGGAAATATCCAAGTGAACTGGAAATCCTTTGCTTGTGGCAGGAGAGCTCCTGCCCTTTAGTTGAATCCTGAGTTGTACGTTTGCGACCATGTGTGACCATAAAATACAGTGAAGCTCTATGGCAAACATTTTTATTATCGTACAGTACTTTAGGTATTGAAAAAAATATTAGGATAGGGTCAAACTGTAAATAGGGAAAACTCCACCTTTGTTACAACAGAGCTCCACTTTTTCTGAACATTTAATTAGAGGACAAACGTTAAAAATATGATAATGTAAAATGTACCCATCTTAAAGGAGAACTATGGGGTCAGGGATTTTCCCCATAGTTCTCCTAAGGGTAACACAAACTAGCATCCTCTTGTCACCCAAAGCTCAGTATACTGCGAGCTACAGCTCGCGGTAGACTGAAACGCGGCAGCCAGGACGGATCCCGACATTACTATCAAAATCCACCCAGCTGCGTGAGTGACAGATGGCTCTGCCTATATAGAGGCAGAGCCAGCTGTACCCGCCCCCTCAGTCAGTGCTGCAGGATCGGACAGGGGAGGGGGGGAATCCCTGCGGGAAGCCGTGAGTGTCAGTCACGGCTCTCTGCAAGGGACAGGATCCAGAAGTGAGCGAGCGACGGTATGTGTTCGCTCACTTCCCGATCTATTGAGCCGACCAGTGACAGTTTCATTGTCACAGGTCGGCTAGAACTATGAGGCTGAGTGATTCTCACTCGCCTCATAGTTCTCCCTTACGGAGAAAGCAACTGTATATAAAGTCCCCCAACTCCATAAAGGCTTTAAATGGCTTTTAAAAGTTGAATTATTAAAGTGTCAGACAAATACAAATACATTTTTTTTATTTTTTATATTTTTTTTATACTTTAGATAACTAGTGGTAATTATTTATTGTCATTGCAGATGACACCAATTTAATAATTTGTATTATACTTTACTACTTACCCCAGCTGGTAAACTCCCATTTCATTTCCACATAAAAGTCCTGTGCCTGTCACAAGAGAAATACTAGTAAAATTAAACGTCCAAACAAAGTGAAGATGACAAAGACCACATTTGAAGCGAATCTCCAGCCAAAATGTTTTGTTCTGGATAGAGTGGGGAGAAGTGAGAACCTTTGTCAAGCTCTCTTTTTCGCTCAGGAGATGTTTTCAACCCTCAATGATAGCACAGAAAGGAAAAATAATCTTTCTTCAAAGACACAGACAATAATAAGAACCTTGCAGAGGTTTTCACTTTTTCAAAAAGTGCTTTTATTGCTCTTCGTTACTTCATGGAACCATCTTTACTAGATTAGGGAGAGGAGTAGAATCTCTTAGGTTTTTACTGTTCTTTATTGTCCATGTTGGGAATTAGATAAGAGCAATTTTGTTTTGACCATTTGTAGAGCTAATAAACAAGCATGAGAAGTGGGGCACTGCCATGAAGAGCATTTACCAAATCCAAAATTTAAAAAAACTAGTATTTTTTCCTACACAGAACTGTCATCTCTCCCTAACATCTCCAACACACACTGACTTTATGGCTTCCGTGAGCCCAGGGATTTTCTGGAGGGGAATGTGTTATCTATTTATTTAAATGTATTGCTCCTGTTACTCACCTGACCAAGGACAAAGGCTAAGAACTGCATTATAGGTTGCCCCTTATTTCTGGTAGTACCTTACGATTTATGAACTTCCCTGACTGTGGTTTTCCCAACATGAATAGAGCAACAACAAAAAAACTGATTCTAAAAATGTATAGATGACACAAATATGGCTGAACGTTAAAGAACTCCAGGAAAAATCTTTATTGACCCTTTTTAGTGGTGCTGCCCCTACTCTGCAAGGGTGAAGGGCTCATTATTGTCTAGGTTCAAAAATAACAAAAAGTTATACTCACCTGAACCCTGGAGCCAGTTTGTTCTTAAGACTGGTCCTTCCATCCTCTCTCCCCCTCCTCTGCAGCGGTCTAAGGTGCGGGGTTAGCCCCACTGCAAGGGTTAATTAAATGTTTTTCCTAGAGTTCTTCTCTATACGATGATACATACAATTGGACTGAACTGTACATGTTATAGTTTCAAATTATTTATATTTCAACTGTATATTTAGCTGTCTGCTTGGAGTTCAGCATCGATAAAAGTTCCTTCTGGTTTATTATCTGTAATTAATCTACAATAATATATGCAACAGCCTATAAGCTTGCTGGCTAGTGTAACAATACCTGGCTGTACTCCTAGGATACCTGGTACAGGCAATGTGTACAAACAGTTAAGACTGCAATACTTACTGGCAAGAACAGAAGATACTGCTTTTATGAACTGGGGTTTACATATATTTAAAAAAAAAGTAAAATGATACAACTTGATATCAAGGCCTTACACTACACAAACACATAGATATTTTGTGATTTGTATGGTTCACACACTTCCTTGGCCTTCTCTTCTGTGGTAATGGTACTGTCAGCCTTTCTGAACCAGGCTGCCGTGACACACTGGTGTGCCTTCTGGCCTCCTCAAGGGTGCCTCAAACTTTTGTAGTAGTGGAACTGTGACATGAAGGGGGGAATGAAGACTAATGTGAAGGGGCTCCGGATGTAAAAGGGGAACTCTGGTATGAAAGGGGGGCTTCTTATGTGAAAGGGGGGGGATGAAGGGGGAGGAATCTTGATCTGAAGAAAGCACTTCAATATGATTTTGCGTGGGGTCCCCCTTTAATTCCATGATATTTTAGACTGTGGATTTTGCATACTTTCAAAGGGTGCTGTCACTAAAAAAGGTTGAGAAATGCTGTTTTTTATTTTGCCAATGAAATGAGGAGGTACAAAGCTAGTGCTTGACTTTCCTGGTAGACAGCCTTGCATGCACTGCATACAATGAACAACTGAAAGTATCCCAGATTAGATATTTATTTGTGAAAAAAGAATAATAAAAAAACAAACAAATAATGTAATGTATTAGTTTATAATTTTTTTTACCAAAAACCACAAATTTCCCTTTAAATCTAAAACCAAAAAGAAAAATGTCAACAGTATAACAGTAGTCTTCTTTAAGTCACACACTGGGGTTATTTGTAAATGTAAATAAAAGTGTGAATCTTTACTGTAAGTTGTGTGAAACATCACTGCCATCTTAGGCCGATATGTTTCGGCGACCGATATATAGCTGCATCCCTACTTAAAGCATTTATTATCAAAGATTTAGAAGTTTCTTTCATGTGCTATTTGTATGAAATTTTACTTTTATGTTTCTCCTCTTGCTGATTCATGAATAAGGACTGATTTACAAAAAACTTCAGGAATATGTCCGTCTGTCTCCCACTCTAACTGCCTTTAGGAGATCCCTTAAGACTCATCTTTTCAGGGAAGCCTATCCCACCTCAACCTAACCACTCAACCATCACGTTCTCAAACAATTCATCCCCACACAGCTACCTCCTCTTTTAGATTGTAAGCCCTCTGAGGCAGGACCCTCCTTACCATCTTGTCTTGAATTGTATTGTGATTGTAATGTCTTCATTATATTGTCAGGGATCCCAACCTGAAAGAAGCACTTTCAGGGAGGTGTCCCTCATATTGTAAAGCACTGCGCAAACTGTAGGGGCTATATAAATCCTGTATAATAATATTAATCTAAAAGCTTAGAGATTAGCCCCACAATTAGGATACATTGATAAATTTTTTCCCCAGAGTTCTTCTTTAAGTCACACACTGGGGCTATTTGTAAATGTTTACTTTTTATACAAGATTTACACAACTTTTACCCACGATTCTTATACTTTTCTAAATGGATTACATTTAAAAAAAATGTGTGAATCTTTACTGAAAGTTGTGTGAAATATCACTGCCCTCATTCAATCAGAGGATGCCATGTATTCATTTATAAAAAAAACTAGTGTTGACAGCAAAGGGGCCAGATCAGCGGCTGTACAGAATCTGGCTGTCATTTTACAGAATCCCCGTGGCCCTTTCAACTATATTATGTATATATTTACATTGGGCCAAACTGGACCAATGTAAGTATATATAGATATTTATACCTGGAGTTCAGCTTTAATCTACACAAAAAGTAGCATTTATACTGTATATAAATAGGTTACATTATCTGTAGAAACAGGAAAGTTACCCAGTGTTGAGTATAACAGTACCAAGAGAACGTACAGTTCCAGGACAGATTTTGTTTCAGATTTGTTCTTTCAGATCAACAAAATTGACTACAATTATATTGATTGAGACCTTACCTACACAATCCATCCTTATTATGTCCAGTAAAGTAGATCTTTCAATTTTAATTTAACTTTTAAATCCAAGCTGGAATCCCCCATCCAAGTGCTTACTTACCTCTGCATGATGTCGGTGGGCTCCTCTGTTGTTTACATTCTTGGTGTAGATATCTGGCTCAGGCCATACTTGCATATAAATTCCTGATAGGAAAGGTTTTCTGCAGACTTACCTGCTAATGCGAACCCCTACAGCGCTGCGCTGCTCCCTCGCCAGCGCTTCCATCTTTTACCCGATCTCCCTCCTGGGTTTTTAGTCTTAGGCCGCTTGATTAGCTAGGACCAGATGAGGGAATTCCCAAGCATGCACATGGGAGTTACCTCATCTTGACATTAATCCTGCTGAGACTGTGCACCGAGCTGCGCATGCATTGCTCAGTGTGCAGAAACAAAAACAAAAAAAAGTCCTGCAGACCAGAAGGAGGACTTACACAGTCTCTTCTGTCATAAAAACCCTGCCTGTCTTAACTTCCACTTTAAAGTGCCCACAGACACTGGTTAGCAGTCAGATGTGCAAACAAGATCCAACCATCTTCAGGCACCTGTATCTGCTAGCCTTGACGAAAACACTTGGCTCAGCTAAGGAGCCATGTTTATCCCCCGCAGAGGGGAGCGGGGAGGCAAGCAGCATCTGATATCAGCCTATCTGGGAAAGTCATTAGAAACTGGACAAGGTTGTCTAATCGCTATTTCCTCCCAACAACCAAGCAACGTCTGTAGTGGGTACTTTAACATGAGATCGTCACCTAATCTGGCTGGATTACTCACTTCATGTCTACGGCCACTAGTATACTTTACAGTTGTTTATGAATTTTGTTGATGGTTCTAATGTGAAACCAAATCTTACAATGCACATGAAGCCTATTTGTACTAATCAGCTCAGCCCATGTATAGCAGCCAGCATTATAGTTTTGTATATTCGTAACCACTTGACATATGGTATAAAGATGATAAAATACAGTATATCAACAAATTTTATCTTCACTGTTTGCTGCTGTTGTATTGAGCTTCTTTTCTTTTCCTGTAACAATCATTCCAGGAAGAGATTAGTATTTCCCTGCTGTTGGCCAGAATAAGTGACAAAGGTAGCGCCAGAATAAATACCAGAGGTACACTGCCTGTCCAAAAAAAAGGTCACACACTTTAATATTTAGCTGGACTGCCTTTAGCTTCCATTACGGCACGCATTCGCTGTGGCATCGTTTTGATAAGCTTATGCAATGTCACAACATTTATTTCCGGCCAGATTTGCATTACGTTTTCACCAAGATTTTGTAGTGATGATGGGAGAGTCAGACCACAGTGTAAAGTCTTCTCCAGCACATTCCAAACATTCTCAAATGGCTTAAATTCTTGACTCTTTGGTGACCAATCCATGTGTGACAATGATGCCTCATGCTCCCTGAACCATTCTTTCACAATTTGAGCCCGATGAATCCTGGCATTGTCATCTTGGAATATGTCTGTGCCATCAGGGAAGACAAAATCCATTGATGAAAAACCATTCAGTATATTCAGGTAGGCAGCTGACTGCATTTCTTGGACACATAATGTTGCTGAACCCAGACCTACTATCCAATGGAAGGCTCTGACCTATTTGCTTAGCTAAATCCAGGTGGTGACTTTTTTTGGACAGGCAGTTTCAGGGGCACACTGCTTTAACTTTGCTGCTGTTTAACACAACATATCCAAAATAAAGTCCTCCAATTAAAGAAGATAGTTAAAGTGTACCTAT